ATTTGATAAACGTTTTGTCTCATTTACGCCAAAACGCACGGATGATTATTTAAATAACAAAAAAAATATTCAAAAAAGCGCAAATATTGAAAATCGGAATCTCCCCAAAGTGCTTTCATAATAGAAAGAACACCATATTTGTCGCCAGCAAGATATTATCAGATTTACATAAACATTTACACGATTTAGAAAAAAAATACATAAGCTACTTAACGATTGTGCCCTTTTTATATTTATGGTGCTACATTTATAAATAAATGTATTTAAGTACCTTCATTGTTCGGGAATAAAATATCACGCTTCTTTCTTTTCCACGAGGCGCCGTCTGTAAAAATAATGTAAACTTTTTCTATCTTCTCAAGCAAATATAATCTCATCCGAATTATTTGATAAGTTTCTATGTTTACTCATTGTCTTATTTCAACAACTAATCTAAATATTTTCACCCAATGCATTTTAGTATTATTACTTGATTTAAATTCAAAATCGACGAATTTAGATTCAAGTTTATAGCGAATTGTTTGATAATAGCAATATACACTACTATATTGAATACAAGTAACACAATATTAACTGATTCTATACTAAAAAATATCAATTACATGACTATAGTCGTGTACAGAAATTTCTTACTCGATCCATCCTCCTTTGATTAGTATGACCGAGAATGTCGAGCTCAATTCCATTCTCTCCTTGATTCGTCGTCATCTTCAGCTTATAGCACCACTGTTAATGGTAGCAAACACAACTCCAATGGCTATTAAAATAAATACGTTCTTCATAGCTGGTATTTGGATCTTTTAAAATATATATCTTGAAGTTATAAGATGAATTAATTTGCGGTACAGATGTGAGGTTTTAGAATTCCTAATAGGAGCGATTCGAATCAATATCAGTTCGGAGCAATGCCAAATAAAATGGATCGATTTTATTTACAAAATAGTCAAAAGTCACAAATATTACGTTTTGCAGAGCACAATATACCACAACAAATTGTAATTGTTACGCCATATAACCTTAAATTGGTTTTTAGATTTTACTTACAAAGTATAATCAGCAAGTAAAAATGTATATTCGTAAGCGACTAAAAAAACTATTAATAGCAAACATTTCAAAAATTCAAAACATTTCAAACATTTCGAAAATACGACACTGAGAGTTCTTTACACATATTATTCAACAACATGCCCAACAGCTAATTGGTATTCAACGCGGCGATCTCGAAAATATTCTACAATATTGAAGCCGGTAAACACATTCGTTCATTATGAAAATGTGTTTTCTATAACATATATATATATATATATATATATATATAGATAAGAGGAATAGTTTTGGATAGTTCCTGAAAGAGCCTGGTGTTTTATACTCTTGCTTAATCTTGACAAATCCCTTAATATGGACTCATTAGGAATTGATACTGAAGGATACAGGATAATTTTATTGGAGGTAAATAGTAATTGTAAAGAGCAGTCAAATCGATTTTTAGAAGGAAATTAAAAAATTGACATATATTGACAATATAATAGCACTGTATGATATGCATTGTTGCATAAGTACATGTATTTTAACATAAGCAATTACGTTTCGAATTAATAACATGTAATTACAGTACGGTATGATTATAATAGATGTATACACTAAGTGAATATTTACTTTACGTAGTTAATTATTTGCTATTTAATCCATAAATGGCAGTCTGAGAAAAACCCATATATCGATTTCTCACTGCGAGGAATAGCAAAAGGGACATTCTACTCCGAGAGAGCCATATTTTTCTATCGACTTTCATACGCAATCAAGTCACCAAGAGATCTCAAAAGTTAATTATAAGCCATTTGTGCATATTTTGGTGGGGCCAGTAACTGAAGACATCCTTGTGTACCGGTACTATAACAATCACATACGGAATTGCCTATACTTACAAAGCTTATTAATCAGACAATGGTTTTGTCCAAGGATATAAGATTTGGAGAACATGTATTCTGGCCGTGCGTTAAGTGTGTACAAGATATTTCATGTATCGCACGTGAGTGATTTCGATGTTGCGATTTTGAGAGACACAGTTACGTGCTCGTAAACCTTGCTTTGTTACGAAATTTGGAGAATGACCGTCGGGTTGCTATCATCACGTCATTCAACGTATTCAGGATTCCTATAATCCGGTGGTGTTTTCAAAGTGGTTCTGCGGACCGCTAAGGGGCCCGAAAATCGGTTATGAGATCCGTGAAGAACCCGTCCTAGAATTTTCTGCGGGTCAAAGATCGGGTAAACACTTTGGACGGGTAAGCTGGGATCACCTTTTCCTCATAAACCCGAAAAAAAATATTCCAGAATTATAACAACCTGATTAAACACCCAACATTAATCATAGTGGACGAGGAACTCTATTTAAAAACAAACACATCGGAAGAGCTGCGACGTACTTAGGAATCAAAATTCAATCAAAGTTTTAAAAAATGCATGCTTTCTCCCCTCAATGCTATTATCCTTCACCGAAGCATGCGAGGAGACCAAATCATTTCTGGATTTTGTGAATAATGTGACAATCTTAATAAAACAATATCCATTTATATAATATTTTCCATGGTAATATGGTATGAGGAGGACTATCATAAGACTCAGCTCGAAATAAACAAGTCCTTGTTCTATTAAATGAAAATTCGCGTTTATTCGCAAACTTGATAGGACATTTAAGTTCAATATTTCTACAATATTTGTTTGATTCAAATGTGAAACGTAATCTTCTCTGTTCGAAAGTACTTAGGTAATTGGCGTGCAATGCAGAAAAAATTTGGAATACAACTTGTCTAATATTTTTGTTCTAAGAATTATTTATTTTGTGAGTCAAGACGGACAACAGTAACAGATTTTCACAACGAGTACTTCGTGCCTAATTATTGTTTATTACCATCGAAAAAATTTGTTTTTTCACTGCGTATTGAAGTCTCTCAAAACATCTGAAGTAATCCAACTGAAAATTCGAAAAGTTGTCTCTGACTTCAATCTCCAGGCCTGTTGATCAGATAGGGCGTCAATAATGATAACTTCTACAGTAGTTGTACTTTTCATCATCAAACAACAGATTTCTGTGTAACGATGTGGGTCACGGTATCTTTGTTTCCATATATTTGTCTAATAACTCTATTATTTATCATTGCCACATGATCATATAGCACAGTGGTTTCCTAACTTTTTTTTCCGCGACCCCAATTTTCGTAAAATCAACATTTACACATATTCACGATCCCGCTACAAAAAGGATACGATAGAAACTCTACCTGAGAAATTAATCCGTTCCTGAAGCCCCTTTGTAGGCAGAAATTTTTGTAAGTAGAGACGCTTTTACCTGTAAATGCCCTCATCCGTTTTAAGCCCCCACAAAATTGGGACATAATATTTGTATAAATAATTATACATTTGGCGCTGGGACATGTGCGCTATATTCGGTATTCTTATAAAAACTAAATATTTCTACTCCACATCAATTTAAAAATGAGTACATATTATCCAATTATGTTAATGAGAACGATGCGCCTGTACATCGTTGTCAGTTTTTGGAATCTTTGTGTGATGTTACTTAGGCACAACCGCATGTCATCTTCAACATTCAAACTTTTTCTGTTTTTTTTTTGTTCAAAGTACAGGCATTGTATTAAATCCTGCTTCATGGAGGTATGTTGTTGCAAAAGGAATCAACTCCCTTATCACAAATTTGAGGTAATCATTAACATCGTTATATTATATACGTATGTTTTTGCTTTGGCAAAAACAATAAATTCTTCCACCCCGCAGTCAGTTGAACAGGTGGGGAAAATCTATTAACAATCACCCGACTATCGAAAGTACGAAAGTACATCGTTATGCAAATTGCGACACCGGTACGTTTCAACGTTACGTTACCTGCACACCGATACGCAACGGAGAGAGGAACAACGAACGCATCGGTGCGATACAGGGATATAAAGATAGTGGAACTAACTAAGGTCACAGACCTAACTCCTGGAAATATATCTCCCTAAAACCCATTCTGTCGACAAACCGAATTCAACCGAAAACATAGAAGGTTTAGCCTGCAGGTGCACGTGTAAAGAATGTTGTCAGATCGAGACCAAGCTACTTATTCGAATTTAATACCCATGAAAAAGCTAAAAACGGGGATATATCATTGACGTTCTTATCACTAAATTGCATTCACATCTAACCAAAAATGTCGCTTTCTGATTTCAAATCCTAGTTAATTGTAACCGAATCAGGCGACCGCATGCAGACAATCTTCACTGATATCGCGTAAGACCTCTTATGGAACAAGGTATGGAAGAAGCTATTCTAAGCCAGTCGCTGCATTTATAAATAATCTGTATTCTTTAATAATTTTATTCATTGTGTGATCATTCTTGTCGATGGGCGTTCAGAACTGCTTTGAGTCAAATTATTAATTGATTACTGTAATTTTGTTACGTTGATTATTACCTGTTATTCACATTTACGATTTTACGCGAAAGCACGAAATTATATATTGATACAATTATTTGATCCTTTTTCCCTATTCTATAGTAATTAGTTTACCACTGTATAATGCACTTTCTAATGATGTAGCCTGCCACCCGACCGTGTATCAAGAAATACAATTCATTTATATATATATATATAATAAATTTCTAATTTTCGTCAAATTGAAATGACAATAGCATTACTGTATATGTGACAAACGATGGGTCCTTGTTGCATTTTTCTGATTTTGCTGTTTAAACAGTCAACGGAAAAGAGCAATATCATCTGAAATAAAATTATATATTTACTTCATTTCATGGATTTATTTGATAAACGTTTTGTCTCATTTACGCCAAAACGCACGGATGATTATTTAAATAACAAAAAAATATTCCAAAAAAGCGCAAATATTGAAAATCGGAATCTCCCTAAAGTGCTTTCATAATAGAAAGAACACCATATTTGTCGCCAGCAAGATATTATCAGATTTACATAAACATTTACACGATTTAGAAAAAATACATAAGCTACTTAACGACTGTGCCCTTTTTATATTATGGTGCTACATTTTATAAATAAATGTATTTAAGTACCTTCATTGTTCGGGAATAAAATATCACGCTTCTTTCTTTTCCACGAGGCGCCTCTGTAAAAATAATGTAAACTTTTGTATCTTCTCAAACAAATATAATCTCATCCGATTATTGATAAGTTTCTATGTTTACTCATTGTCTTATTTCAACAACTAATCTAAATATTTCTCACCCAATGCATTTTAGTATTATACTTGATTTAAATTCAAAATCGACGAATTTAGATTCAAGTTTTATAGCGAATTGTTTGATAATAGCAATATACACTACTATATTGAATACAGTAATACAATATTAACTGATTCTATACTAAAAAATATCAATTACATGACTATAGTCGTGTACAGAAATTTCTTACTCGATCATCCTCCTTTGATTAGTATGACCGAGAATGTCGAGCTCAATTCCATTCTCTCCTTGATCGCCGTCATCTTCAGCTATAGCACCACTGTAAATGGTAGCAAACACAACTCCAATGGCTATTAAAATAAATACGTTCTTCATAGCTGGTATTTGGATCTTTAAAATATATATCTTGAAGTTATAAGATGAATTAATTTGCGAGTACAGATGTGAGGTTTAGAATTCCTAATAGGAGCGATTCGAATCAATATCAGTTCGGAGCAATGCCAAATAAAATGGATCGATTTTATTTACAAAATAGTCAAAAGTCACAAATATTACGTTGGCAGAGCACAATATACCACAACAAACTGTAATTGTTACGCCATATAACCTTAAATTGGTTTTTAGATTTTACTTACAAAGTATCATTGGCAAGTGAAAATGTATATTCGTAAGCGACTTTAATAGCAAACATTTCAAGCACAAATACGACACTGAGAGTTCTTTACACATATTATTGAACAACATGCCCAACAGCTAATTGATATTCAACGCGGCGATCTTGAAAATATTCTACAATATTAAAGCCGGTAAATACATTCGTTCATTATGAGTAAATGTGTTTCTATATAGATAAGAGAATAGATTTTGGAAGAGCCTAGTGTTTTATACTCTTGCTTAATCTTGACAAATCCTTTAATATGGACTCATTAGGAATTGATACTGAAGGTACAGGATAATTTTATTGAAGGTAAACAATAATTTGTAAAGAGCAGTCAAATCGATTTTTAGAAAGAAAATTAAAAAATTGCCCATATATTGACAATATAATAGCACTGTATGATATTTGTTGTTGCATAAGTACATGTATTTCAAAATAAGCAATTACATTTCGAACTAATAACATGTAATTACAGTACCGTATGATTATAATAGATGTATACACTAAGTAAATATTTACCTTACGTAGTTAATTATTTGCTATTTAATCCATAAATGGCAGTCTGAGAAAAACCCATATATCGATTTCTCACTGCGATGAATAGCAAAAGGACATTCTACTCCGAGAGAGCCATATTTTTCTATCGACTTTCATATACGCAATCAAGTCACCATCATCCTGTCCCATTGATATTTCAGATTTCTGAAATCCTATCAGTAAATAAAATCTTAACGATCTTATCAGAGAATAAAATCTTAACGATCTTATCAGTAAATAAAATTTTGTTTTCAACAGCTTGGAAAACGATTAAACTGCGAGGTAGCATATAAATTTATTGTACATACCCAAAAACATTCTGCGAGGTTGCGAGTAATCAATGGATCGATTGGATGGTAATGTCATGAAAAGCATTGTTGCTAGTGTATGCCTACCGTTATATACTATATTTCAAAAGTTCACTTATTGTTGGATTGAATAAGGAATGTTTCATTATCAATTTTCATCGAATAAATTCTTGATTTGGCGGGTCACGGAAAAAAATGGTCGGTCACTTTGAGACTGTGTCAGAGGTTTGCCATCTCTGTTTGTGCAATATCTTATGACCAAAATGTTAGGTGCAAAAAACTGATGGATTTTTGTGAATGATTAAATCTATTATTTTTACAAATCTAGATAATTTACACAGCTCATTTTAACAGCTGGTATATAAAATATATATAGCAAACGTATGTAACCTAAAATCAATTTCCAGGTTATGCTTGTTTTAGCGCAATTCAGATATGTCACGCGGAATTTTGGGATCATCGTCCCAGCATAAAAGAGGCATAAATATTTGAAAACTACATTATTCTTTAAATAATTTTATTTATGAAACCCACGTGAGTTTATTTGGTTGAAGATTCATTTGATGGCTTTTTTTTCGACTTTGATATGACTAATAAACTTACCTCGCGACAACTAGATTCCCCTTATCCATACTTTCCCTGATAGGCGATGATATAAATTCGTTGTTAGGGCTGGGCATTTTCGAATACCTGATGATGTTAGAATCGAATCGAATATTTTTCCGAATCGAATCTCGAATACTTGGGATGTATAAAATTGTATGTAACCTTCTTATTGTATTAGGTCCTCTAGACACATAACTTACTGAAAACATAGAATACCTCACTCAGGCAGATTGCTGAGCCTTCACACACAATAAAAAACACGTTTTCATCAATAATTCACTACAGAAAAGAGTCATATGTCAGGTTTGCGTTGAAAAAATATGACTTCAATAAAAAAATTAAGTAATTTACCTCGACCATAGGCGGCAAAAAAAACAAGATGGCGGCGATTCGAAATTTTGCTCTGAACCGATTCGAATAATTTACTATTCGATTCGAAATGCCTAGCCCTACTCATTGTTAATGAGCCGTTTGACGACAACCAAGCTTACGCGAGAACGTATTTCGGTCACTGATGAAAGCGAGGGTCAGTAGGAATTCCTTAATGGGTTCAACCCTTGTCTGACGCCGTCTGACACTGATTTCCCAACGCACGTTCGTAAGTTTTCATAGTAAGCAGACCCAAAGATAATATATATACATTTATCTTTATGTATAAAAGTTAGAATGCTTATTATATTACTTGCGGATTTAGTATTCGAAATTTCTTGCATTAAATAGTGACGGGCTGACAGGTATATTCTGATATCTAGAACATATTTTTTTAATCCCTTATTACGAGACAAATTGCGTTCAAAATTATATATATTGCTTATAAGTTTTGGGGTTACCTGGCTCGTGGCTATTATGAAAAGTCACTTTTCTCAAATTCCCACTTTGAGTACTTAAAAAAAGTGGATTCCCAACCTTCTCCCCCCCCCCGACCACCCTTGCCAATTTCAGATATCTTTATTTCACTCTCACTATACATCGACGTGAAAAAAAAACTATTCTAAGACAATCAGTCTTTGCATTCATTAATAATCATAATATTTTTATTCTCGACAATAGGTTGTTATGGGTGTTTGGGATCAAATTATTATTAATTGATTACTGCATTTTTTGTTACTTCGATTAATAATTGTAATTCACATTTGACGGTCTTAAGCGGAAGCTCAAAATCATATTTTGATACAATCTATTTGCTACTTTTCTTTTTCCTATCTCATAGTAATTGATTTACCACTTTCTAGTGATGTAGCCCGACATTCAACTCTCCAGTGTATCAAGGAAAACAAGTCATCCATACATATAACATTTTATTAAATTCTTAATTTTTATCAACTCAAAAATATAATAACATTATACGTAATTACGTAACAAACGATGCATCGATGATTGTTGTATTCCTTTGATATTGTTGTCCAAATGAAGTCAATAAAAAAGAGCAATGTCATCTGAAATGAATTGTTTTGATTAATAGAAAAAGGACATTTTTCATATGCGTCGAAATGACAAAACGAACAGACACTTATCTGTTAAAAAAAGTATGTCAGAAAAACGTAAATATTGAGGTTATTACTTTCCTCATAATGCTTTCATATTTTAAAGAACGCCATAAATGTCTCCGACAAGATTTATAGGATTCACATAAATAATTACATGCTTCAAGCTAAAGAACGTACTTAACGATTGTACCCTCCTATTATGACTTTATAAATAAATGTTTTTCAGTACCTGCATTGTTTGAAAATAAAATGTCACGCTTCTTTCTTTTCCACGAATCCAATCTGTAAAAATAATTTACGATCTCATATTTGTAAGCAAACACAAGCCGATTAATAATCGTTTTCCCTGTTCACCTTTGTTTTTCGTTTCAACGCACCATTAAGAATATTTTGCACTCAACGCATTATAGTATTATATTTTATTTAAAATTAAAAATGATGAATTTAGATTCAAATTATATATATATATATATATATATAGCAAATAGAACAAAAAAAAAAACCAAAAAAATCAATATGTTATAAATAATAGTAACATACACAACAATATATTTGAAATTTTCTATTGATTATATGCTAAAAAATATCATTCACAAGAATAGTCCTGCATAAACCTTTTCTCACTCGATCATTCTCCTCTGATTATCCTTGGAGCCAAATTTTATTCCTACATTTTCTCCCTGGTCGTCGTCATCTTCAGCTATAGCACCACTGTAAATGGTAGCAAACACAACTCCAATGGCTATTAGAATAAATACGTTTTTCATGGCCGGTATTCAGATCTTGAAAATTATAGCTCAAAGTAAAAAGATTGAATGAGGTTGAGAGAACAATGGCCTAATATTTGCGAGTCGATGCACAAACTGAGGAGTTCAAAACTCTATGAGTTTATGGTATTGGCATTCCCTCAGCTTTGTTTAACTCAATTATTCCATCGGTAAGACACAATATATCATAACAAATTGTTATCTCATATAACTCTCATATATCTCTGTGTAACGATGTGGGTCACGGTATCTTTGTTTCCATATATTTGTCTAATAACTCTATTATTTATCATTGCCACATGATCATATAGCACAGTGGTTCCCTAACTTTTTTTTTCGCGACCCCAATTTTCGTAAAATCAACATTTACACATATATCCCGCTACAAAAAGGATACGATAGAAACTCTACCTGAGAAATTAATCCGTTCCTGAAGCCCCTTTGTAGGCAGAAATTTTTGTAAGTAGAGACGCATTTTACCTGTAAATGCCCTCATCCGTTTTAAGCCCCCACAAAATTGGGACATAATATTTGTATAAATAATTATACATTTGGCGCTGGGACATGTGCGCTATATTCGGTATTCTTATAAAAACTAAATATTTCTACTCCACATCAATTTAAAAATGAGTACATATTATCCAATTATGTTAATGAGAACGATGCGCCTGTACATCGTTGTCAGTTTTTGGAATCTTTGTGTGATGTTACTTAGGCACAACCGCATGTCATCTTCAACATTCAAACTTTTTCTGTTTTTTTGTTCAAAGTACAGCCATTGTATTAAATCTTGCTTCATGAAGGTATGTTGTTGCAAAAGGAATCAACTCCCTTATCACAAATTTGAGGTAATCATTAACATCGTTATATTATATACGTATGTTTTTTGCTTTGGCAAAAACAATAAATTCTTCCACCCCGCAGTCAGTTGAACAGGTGGGGAAAATCTATTAACAATCACCCGACTATCCATCGTTATGTAAATTGCGACAGCGGTACGTTTCAACGTTACGTTACCTGCACACCGATACGCAACGAAGAGAGGAACAACGAACGCATCGGTGCGATACAGGGATATAAAGATAGTGGAACTAACTAAGGTCACAGACCTAACTCCTGGAAATATATCTCCCTAAAACCCATTCTGTCGACAAACCGAATTCAACCGAAAACATAGAAGGTTTAGCCTGCAGGTGCACGTGTAAAGAATGTTGTCAGATCGAGACCAAGCTACTTATTCGAATTTAATACCCATGAAAAAGCTAAAAACGGGGATATATCATTGACGTTCTTATCACTAAATTGCATTCACATCTAACCAAAAATGTCGCTTTCTGATTTCAAATCCTAGTTAATTGTAACCGAATCAGGCGACCGCATGCAGACAATCTTCACTGATATCGCGTAAGACCTCTTATGGAACAAGGTATGGAAGAAGCTATTCTAAGCCAGTCGCTGCATTTATAAATAATCTGTATTCTTTAATAATTTTATTCATTGTGTGATCATTCTTGTCGATGGGCGTTCAGAACTGCTTTGAGTCAAATTATTAATTGATTACTGTAATTTTTGTTACGTTGATTATTACCTGTTATTCACATTTACGATTTTACGCGAAAGCACGAAATTATATATTGATACAATTATTTGATCCTTTTTCCCTATTCTATAGTAATTAGTTTACCACTGTATAATGCACTTTCTAATGATGTAGCCTGCCACCCGACCGTGTATCAAGAAATACAATTCATTTATATATATATATATATAATAAATTTCTAATTTTCGTCAAATTGAAATGACAATAGCATTACTGTATATGTGACAAACGATGGGTCCTTGTTGCATTTTTCTGATTTTGCTGTTTAAACAGTCAACGGAAAAGAGCAATATCATCTGAAATAAAATTATATATTTACTTCATTTCATGGATTTATTTGATAAACGTTTTGTCTCATTTACGCCAAAACGCACGGATGATTATTTAAATAACAAAAAAATATTCCAAAAAAGCGCAAATATTGAAAATCGGAATCTCCCCAAAGTGCTTTCATAATAGAAAGAACACCATATTTGTCGCCAGCAAGATATTATCAGATTTACATAAACATTTACACGATTTAGAAAAAAATACATAAGCTACTTAACGACTGTGCCCTTTTTATATTATGGTGCTACATTTTATAAATAAATGTATTTAAGTACCTTCATTGTTCGGGAATAAAATATCACGCTTCTTTCTTTTCCACGAGGCGCCTCTGTAAAAATAATGTAAACTTTTCTATCTTCTCAAGCAAATATAATCTCATCCGATTATTGATAAGTTTCTATGTTTACTCATTGTCTTATTTCAACAACTAATCTAAATATTTCTCACCCAATGCATTTTAGTATTATACTTGATTTAAATTCAAAATCGACGAATTTAGATTCAAGTTTTATAGCGAATTGTTTGATAATAGCAATAAACACTACTATATTGAATACAGTAATACAATATCAACTGATTCTATACTAAAAAATATCAATTACATGACTATAGTCGTGTACAGAAATTTCTTACTCGATCATCCTCCTTTGATTAGTATGACCGAGAATGTCGAGCTCAATTCCATTCTCTCCTTGATCGTCGTCATCTTCAGCTATAGCACCACTGTAAATGGTAGCAAACACAACTCCAATGGCTATTAAAATAAATACGTTCTTCATAGCTGGTATTTGGATCTTTAAAATATATATCTTGAAGTTATAAGATGAATTAATTTGCCAGTACAGATGTGAGGTTTAGAATTCCTAATAGGAGCGATTCGAATCAATATCAGTTCGGAGCAATGCCAAATAAAATGGATCGATTTTATTTACAAAATAGTCAAAAGTCACAAATATTACGTTTGCAGAGCACAATATACCACAACAAATTGTAATTGTTACGCCATATAACCTTAAATTGGTTTTTAGATTTTACTTACAAAGTATAATCAGCAAGTAAAAATGTATATTCGTAAGCGACTAAAAACCTATTAATAGCAAACATTTCAAAAATTCAAAACATTTCGAAAATACGACACGGAGAGTTCTTTACACATATTATTCAACAACATGCCCAACAGCTAATTGGTATTCAACGCGGCGATCTCGAAAATATTCTACAATATTGAAGCCGGTAAACACATTCGTTCATTATGAAAAAATGTGTTTCTATAACATATATATATATAGATAAGAGAAGAGTTTTTGGATAGTTCCTGAAAGAGCCTGGTGTTTTATACTCTTGCTTAATCTTGACAAATCCCTTAATATGGACTCATTAGGAATTGATACTGAAGGATACAGGATAATTTTATTGGAGGTAAATAATAATTTGTAAAGAGCAGTCAAATCGATTTTTAGGAAGGAAATTAAAAAATTGCCCATATATTGACAATATAATAGCACTGTATGATATGCGTTGTTGCATAAGTACATGTATTTCAACATAAGCAATTACGTTTCGAATTAATAACATGTAATTACAGTACGGTATGATTATAATAGATGTATACACTAAGTAAATATTTACCTTACGTAGTTAATTATTTGCTATTTAATCCATAAATGGCAGTCTGAGAAAACCCCATATATCGATTTCTCACTGCGATGAATAGCAAAAGGACATTCTACTCCGAGAGAGCCATATTTTTCTATCGACTTTCATACGCAATCAAGTCACCATCATCCTGTCCCATTGATATTTCAGATTTCTGAAATCATATCAGTAAATAAAATCTTAACGATCTTATCAGAAAATAAAATCTTAACGATCTTATCAGTAAATAAAATTTTGTTTTCAACAGCTTGGAAAACGATTAAACTGCGAGGTAGCATATAAATTTATTGTACATACCCAAAAACATTCTGCGAGGTTGCGAGTAATCAATAGATCGATTGGATTGTTATGTCATGAAAAGCATTGTTGCTAGTGTATGCCTACCGTTATATACTATATTTCAAAAGTTCACTTATTGTTGGATTGAATAAGGAATGTTTCATTATCAATTTTCATCGAATAAATTCTTGATTTGGCGGGTCACGGAAAAAAATGGTCGGTCACTTTGAGACTGTGTCAGAGGTTTGCCATCTCTGTTTGTGCAATATCTTATGACCAAAATGTTAGGTGCAAAAGACTGATGGATTTTTGTGAATGATTAAATCTATTATTTTTACAAATCTAGATAATTTACACAGCTCATTTTAACAGCTGGTATATAAAATATATATAGCAAACGTATGTAACCTAAAATCAATTTCCAGGTTATGCTTGTTTTAGCGCAATTCAGATATGTCACGCGGAATTTTGGGATCATCGTCCCAGCATAAAAGAGGCATAAATATTTGAAAACTACATTATTCTTAAAATAATTTTATTTATGAAACGCATGTGAGTTTATTTGGTTGAAGATTCATTTGATGGCTTTTTTTCGACTTTGATATGACTAATTAACTTACCTCGCGACAACTAGATTCCCCTTATCCATACTTTCCCTGATAGGCGATGATATAAATTCGTTGTTAGGGCTGGGCATTTTCGAATACCTGATGATGTTAGAATCGAATCGAATATTTTTCCGAATCGAATCTCGAATACTTGGGATGTATAAAATTGTATGTAACCTTCTTATTGTATTAGGTCCTCTAGACACATAACTTACTGAAAACTTAGAATACCTCACTCAGGCAGATTGCTGAGCCTTCACACACAATAAAAAACACGTTTTCATCAATAATTCACTACAGAAAAGAGTCATATGTCAGGTTTGCGTTGAAAAAATATGACTTCAATAAAAAAATTAAGTAATTTACCTCGACCATAGGCGGCAAAAAAACAAGATGGCGGCGATTCGAAATTTTGCTCTGAACCGATTCGAATAATTTACTATTCGATTCGAAATGCCTAGCCCTACTCATTGTTAATGAGCCGTTTGACGAGAACCAAGCTTACGCGAGAACGTATTTCGGTCACTGATGAAAGCGAGGGTCAGTAGGAATTCCTTAATGGGTTCAACCCTTGTCTGACGCCGTCTGACACTGATTTCCCAACGCACGTTCGTAAGTTTTTATATTAAGCAGACCCAAAGATAATATATATGCATTTATCTTTATGTATGAAAGTTAGAATGCCTATTATATTACTTGCGGACTTAGTATTCGAAATTTCTTGCATTAAATATTGACGGGCTGACAGGCATATTCTGATATCTAGAACATATTTTATTTATCCCTTATTACGAGACAAATTGCGTTCAAAATTATATATATTGCCTATTAGTTTTGGGGTTACCGGGCTCGTGGCTATTATGAAAAGTCACTTTTCTCAAATTGCCACTTTCAGTACTTAAAAAAAGTGGATTCCCAACCTCCTCCCCCCCCCCCCCCCGACCACCCTTGCCAATTTCAGATATCTTTATTTCACTCTCAGAATGCATCGACGTGAAAAAAAACTATTCTAAGACAATCAGTCTTTGCATTCATTAATAATCATAATATTTTTATTCTCGACAATAGGTTGTTATGGGTGTTTGGGATCAAATTATTATTAATTGATTACTGCATTTTTTGTTACTTCGATTAATAATTGTAATTCACATTTGACGGTCTTAAGCGGAAGCTCAAAATCATATTTTAATACAATCTATTTGCTACTTTTCTTTTTCCTATTTCATAGTAATTGATTTACCACTTTCTAGTGATGTAGCCCGACATTCGACTCTCCAGTGTATCAAGGAAAACAAGTGATCCATACATATAACATTTTATTAAATTCCTAATTTTTATCAACTCAAAAATATAATAACATTATACGTAATTACGTAACAAACGATGCATCGATGATTGTTGTATTCCTTTGATATTGTTGTCCAAATGAAGTCAATAAAAAAGAGCAATGTCATCTGAAATGAATTGTTTTGATTAATAGAAAAAGGACATTTTTCATATGCGTCGAAATGACAAAACGAACAGACACTTATCTGTTAAAAAAGTATGTCAGAAAAGCGTAAATATTGAGGTTATCACTTTCCTCATAATGCTTTCATATTTTAAAGAACGCCATAAATGTCTCCGACAAGATTTATAGGAATCACGTAAATAATTATATGCTTCAAGCTAAAGAACGTACTTAACGATTGTACCCTCCTATTATGACTTTATAAATAAATGTTTTTCAGTACCTGCATTGTTTGAAAATAAAATGTCACGCTTCTTTCTTTTCCACGAATCCAATCTGTAAAAATAATTTACGATCTCATATTTGTAAGCAAACACAAGCCGATTAATAATCGTTTTCCCTGTTCACCTTTGTTTTTCGTTTCAACGCACCATTAAGAATATTTTGCACTCAACGCATTATAGTATTATATTTTATTTAAAATTAAAATGATGAATTTAGATTCAAATTATATATATATATATATATATAGCAAATAGAACAAAAAAAAACCAAAAAATCAATATGTTATAAATAATAGTAACATACACAACAATATATTTGAAATTTTCTATTGATTATATGCTAAAAAATATCATTCACAAGAATAGTCCTGCATAAACCTTTTCTCACTCGATCATTCTCCTCTGATTATCCTTGGAGCCAAATTTTATTCCTACATTTTCTCCCTGGTCGTCGTCATCTTCAGCTATAGCACCACTGTAAATGGTAGCAAACACAACTCCAATGGCTATTAGAATAAATACGTTTTTCATGGCCGGTATTCAGATCTTGAAAATTATAGCTCAAAGTAAAAAGATTGAATGAGGTTGAGAGAACAATGGCCTAATATTTGCGAGTCGATGCACAAACTGAGGAGTTCAAAACTCTATGAGTTTATGGTATTGGCATTCCCTCAGCTTTGTTTAACTCAATTATTCCATCGGTAAGACACAATATATCATAACAAATTGTTATCTCATATAACTCTCATATATCTCTGTGTAACGATGTGGGTCACGGTATCTTTGTTTCCATATATTTGTCTAATAACTCTATTATTTATCATTGCCACATGATCATATAGCACAGTGGTTCCCTAACTTTTTTTTTCGCGACCCCAATTTTTCGTAAAATCAACATTTACACATATATCCCGCTACAAAAAGGATACGATAGAAACTCTACCTGAGAAATTAATCCGTTCCTGAAGCCCCTTTGTAGGCAGAAATTTTTGTAAGTAGAGACGCATTTTACCTGTAAATGCCCTCATCCGTTTTAAGCCCCCACAAAATTGGGACATAATATTTGTATAAATAATTATACATTTGGCGCTGGGACATGTGCGCTATATTCGGTATTCTTATAAAAACTAAATATTTCTACTCCACATCAATTTAAAAATGAGTACATATTATCCAATTATGTTAATGAGAACGATGCGCCTGTACATCGTTGTCAGTTTTTGGAATCTTTGTGTGATGTTACTTAGGCACAACCGCATGTCATCTTCAACATTCAAACTTTTTCTGTTTTTTTGTTCAAAGTACAGCCATTGTATTAAATCTTGCTTCATGAAGGTATGTTGTTGCAAAAGGAATCAACTCCCTTATCACAAATTTGAGGTAATCATTAACATCGTTATATTATATACGTATGTTTTTTGCTTTGGCAAAAACAATAAATTCTTCCACCCCGCAGTCAGTTGAACAGGTGGGGAAAATCTATTAACAATCACCCGACTATCCATCGTTATGTAAATTGCGACAGCGGTACGTTTCAACGTTACGTTACCTGCACACCGATACGCAACGAAGAGAGGAACAACGAACGCATCGGTGCGATACAGGGATATAAAGATAGTGGAACTAACTAAGGTCACAGACCTAACTCCTGGAAATATATCTCCCTAAAACCCATTCTGTCGACAAACCGAATTCAACCGAAAACATAGAAGGTTTAGCCTGCAGGTGCACGTGTAAAGAATGTTGTCAGATCGAGACCAAGCTACTTATTCGAATTTAATACCCATGAAAAAGCTAAAAACGGGGATATATCATTGACGTTCTTATCACTAAATTGCATTCACATCTAACCAAAAATGTCGCTTTCTGATTTCAAATCCTAGTTAATTGTAACCGAATCAGGCGACCGCATGCAGACAATCTTCACTGATATCGCGTAAGACCTCTTATGGAACAAGGTATGGAAGAAGCTATTCTAAGCCAGTCGCTGCATTTATAAATAATCTGTATTCTTTAATAATTTTATTCATTGTGTGATCATTCTTGTCGATGGGCGTTCAGAACTGCTTTGAGTCAAATTATTAATTGATTACTGTAATTTTTGTTACGTTGATTATTACCTGTTATTCACATTTACGATTTTACGCGAAAGCACGAAATTATATATTGATACAATTATTTGATCCTTTTTCCCTATTCTATAGTAATTAGTTTACCACTGTATAATGCACTTTCTAATGATGTAGCCTGCCACCCGACCGTGTATCAAGAAATACAATTCATTTATATATATATATATATAATAAATTTCTAATTTTCGTCAAATTGAAATGACAATAGCATTACTGTATATGTGACAAACGATGGGTCCTTGTTGCATTTTTCTGATTTTGCTGTTTAAACAGTCAACGGAAAAGAGCAATATCATCTGAAATAAAATTATATATTTACTTCATTTCATGGATTTATTTGATAAACGTTTTGTCTCATTTACGCCAAAACGCACGGATGATTATTTAAATAACAAAAAAATATTCCAAAAAAGCGCAAATATTGAAAATCGGAATCTCCCCAAAGTGCTTTCATAATAGAAAGAACACCATATTTGTCGCCAGCAAGATATTATCAGATTTACATAAACATTTACACGATTTAGAAAAAAATACATAAGCTACTTAACGACTGTGCCCTTTTTATATTATGGTGCTACATTTTATAAATAAATGTATTTAAGTACCTTCATTGTTCGGGAATAAAATATCACGCTTCTTTCTTTTCCACGAGGCGCCTCTGTAAAAATAATGTAAACTTTTCTATCTTCTCAAGCAAATATAATCTCATCCGATTATTGATAAGTTTCTATGTTTACTCATTGTCTTATTTCAACAACTAATCTAAATATTTCTCACCCAATGCATTTTAGTATTATACTTGATTTAAATTCAAAATCGACGAATTTAGATTCAAGTTTTATAGCGAATTGTTTGATAATAGCAATAAACACTACTATATTGAATACAGTAATACAATATCAACTGATTCTATACTAAAAAATATCAATTACATGACTATAGTCGTGTACAGAAATTTCTTACTCGATCATCCTCCTTTGATTAGTATGACCGAGAATGTCGAGCTCAATTCCATTCTCTCCTTGATCGTCGTCATCTTCAGCTATAGCACCACTGTAAATGGTAGCAAACACAACTCCAATGGCTATTAAAATAAATACGTTCTTCATAGCTGGTATTTGGATCTTTAAAATATATATCTTGAAGTTATAAGATGAATTAATTTGCCAGTACAGATGTGAGGTTTAGAATTCCTAATAGGAGCGATTCGAATCAATATCAGTTCGGAGCAATGCCAAATAAAATGGATCGATTTTATTTACAAAATAGTCAAAAGTCACAAATATTACGTTTGCAGAGCACAATATACCACAACAAATTGTAATTGTTACGCCATATAACCTTAAATTGGTTTTTAGATTTTACTTACAAAGTATAATCAGCAAGTAAAAATGTATATTCGTAAGCGACTAAAAACCTATTAATAGCAAACATTTCAAAAATTCAAAACATTTCGAAAATACGACACGGAGAGTTCTTTACACATATTATTCAACAACATGCCCAACAGCTAATTGGTATTCAACGCGGCGATCTCGAAAATATTCTACAATATTGAAGCCGGTAAACACATTCGTTCATTATGAAAAAATGTGTTTCTATAACATATATATATATAGATAAGAGAAGAGTTTTTGGATAGTTCCTGAAAGAGCCTGGTGTTTTATACTCTTGCTTAATCTTGACAAATCCCTTAATATGGACTCATTAGGAATTGATACTGAAGGATACAGGATAATTTTATTGGAGGTAAATAATAATTTGTAAAGAGCAGTCAAATCGATTTTTAGGAAGGAAATTAAAAAATTGCCCATATATTGACAATATAATAGCACTGTATGATATGCGTTGTTGCATAAGTACATGTATTTCAACATAAGCAATTACGTTTCGAATTAATAACATGTAATTACAGTACGGTATGATTATAATAGATGTATACACTAAGTAAATATTTACCTTACGTAGTTAATTATTTGCTATTTAATCCATAAATGGCAGTCTGAGAAAACCCCATATATCGATTTCTCACTGCGATGAATAGCAAAAGGACATTCTACTCCGAGAGAGCCATATTTTTCTATCGACTTTCATACGCAATCAAGTCACCATCATCCTGTCCCATTGATATTTCAGATTTCTGAAATCATATCAGTAAATAAAATCTTAACGATCTTATCAGAAAATAAAATCTTAACGATCTTATCAGTAAATAAAATTTGTTTTCAACAGCTTGGAAAACGATTAAACTGCGAGGTAGCATATAAATTTATTGTACATACCCAAAAACATTCTGCGAGGTTGCGAGTAATCAATAGATCGATTGGATTGTTATGTCATGAAAAGCATTGTTGCTAGTGTATGCCTACCGTTATATACTATATTTCAAAAGTTCACTTATTGTTGGATTGAATAAGGAATGTTTCATTATCAATTTTCATCGAATAAATTCTTGATTTGGCGGGTCACGGAAAAAAATGGTCGGTCACTTTGAGACTGTGTCAGAGGTTTGCCATCTCTGTTTGTGCAATATCTTATGACCAAAATGTTGGGTGCAAAAGACTGATGGATTTTTGTGAAAAATTAAATCTATTATTTTTACAAAATCTAGATAATTTACACAGCTCATTTTAACAGCTGGTATATAAAATATATATAGCAAACGTATGTAACCTAAAATCAATTTTCAGGTTATGCTTGTTTTAGCGCAATTCAGATCTGTCAAGCGGAATTTTTGGATCATCGTCCTAGCATAAAAGAGGCATAAATATATGAAAACTACATTATTCTTAAAATAATTTTATTTATGAAACCCATGTGAGTTTATATGGTTGAAGATTCATTTGATGTCTTTTTTTCCGACTTTGATATGACTAATTAACTTACCTCGCGACAACTAGATTCCCCTTATCCATACTTTCCCTGATAGGCGATGATATAAATTCGTTGTTAGGGCTGGGCATTTTCGAATATCTGATGATTTTAGAATCGAATCGAATATTTTTCCGAATCGAATCTCGAATACTTGGGATGTATAAAATTGTATGTAACCTTCTTATTGTATTAGGTCCTCTAGACACATAACTTACTGAAAACTTAGAATACCTCACTCAGGCAGATTGCTGAGCCTTCACACACAATAAAAAACACGTTTTCATCAATAATTCACTACAGAAAAGAGTCATATGTCAGGTTTGCGTTGAAAAAATATGACTTCAATAAAAAAATTAAGTAATTTACCTCGACCATAGGCGGCAAAAAAACAAGATGGCGGCGATTCGAAATTTTGCTCTGAACCGATTCGAATAATTTACTATTCGATTCGAAATGCCTAGCCCTACTCATTGTTAATGAGCCGTTTGACGAGAACCAAGCTTACGCGAGAACGTATTTCGGTCACTGATGAAAGCGAGGGTCAGTAGGAATTCCTTAATGGGTTCAACCCTTGTCTGACGCCGTCTGACACTGATTTCCCAACGCACGTTCGTAAGTTTTTATATTAAGCAGACCCAAAGATAATATATATGCATTTATCTTTATGTATGAAAGTTAGAATGCCTATTATATTACTTGCGGACTTAGTATTCGAAATTTCTTGCATTAAATATTGACGGGCTGACAGGTATATTCTGATATCTAGAACATATTTTATTTATCCCTTATTACGAGACAAATTGCGTTCAAAATTATATATATTGCCTATTAGTTTTGGGGTTACCGGGCTCGTGGCTATTATGAAAAGTCACTTTTCTCAAATTCCCACTTTCAGTACTTAAAAAAAGTGGATTCCCAACCTCCTCCCCCCCCCCCGACCACCCTTGCCAATTTCAGATATCTTTATTTCACTCTCAGAATGCATCGACGTGAAAAAAAACTATTCTAAGACAATCAGTCTTTGCATTCATTAATAATCATAATATTTTTATTCTCGACAATAGGTTGTTATGGGTGTTTGGGATCAAATTATTATTAATTGATTACTGCATTTTTTGTTACTTCGATTAATAATTGTAATTCACATTTGACGGTCTTAAGCGGAAGCTCAAAATCATATTTTAATACAATCTATTTGCTACTTTTCTTTTTCCTATTTCATAGTAACTGATTTACCACTTTCTAGTGATGTAGCCCGACATTCGACTCTCCAGTGTATCAAGGAAAACAAGTCATTCATACATATAACATTTTATTAAATTCCTAATTTTTATCAACTCAAAAATATAATAACATTATACGTAATTACGTAACAAACGATGCATCGATGATTGTTGTATTCCTTTGATATTGTTGTCCAAATGAAGTCAATAAAAAAGAGCAATGTCATCTGAAATGAATTGTTTTGATTAATAGAAAAAGGACATTTTTCATATGCGTCGAAATGACAAAACGAACAGACACTTATCTGTTAAAAAAGTATGTCAGAAAAGCGTAAATATTGAGGTTATCACTTTCCTCATAATGCTTTCATATTTTAAAGAACGCCATAAATGTCTCCGACAAGATTTATAGGAATCACGTAAATAATTATATGCTTCAAGCTAAAGAACGTACTTAACGATTGTACCCTCCTATTATGACTTTATAAATAAATGTTTTTCAGTACCTGCATTGTTTGAAAATAAAATGTCACGCTTCTTTCTTTTCCACGAATCCAATCTGTAAAAATAATTTACGATCTCATATTTGTAAGCAAACACAAGCCGATTAATAATCGTTTTCCCTGTTCACCTTTGTTTTTCGTTTCAACGCACCATTAAGAATATTTTGCACTCAACCATTATAGTATTATATTTTATTTAAAAATGATGAATTTAGATTCAAATTATATATATATATATATATAGCAAATTGAACAAAAAAAAAAAAAAATCAATATGTTATAAATAATAGTAACATACACAACAATATATTTGAAATTCTCTATTGACAGACTAAAAAATATCATTCACAAGAATAGTCCTGCATAAACATTTCTCACTCGATCATTCTCCTCTGATTATCCACGGAGCCAAATTTGATTCCTACATTTTCTCCCTGGTCGTCGCCATCTTCAGCTATAGCACCACTGTAAATGGTAGCAAACACAACTCCAATGGCTATTAGAATAAATACGTTTTTCATGGCTGGTATTCAGATCTTAAAATATATATCTTAAAGTAAAAAGATTGAATGAGGTTGAGAGAACAATGGCCTGATATTTGCGAGTCGATGGACAAACTGAGGAGTTCAAAACTCTATGAGTCTATGGTTTTGTCATTCCCTCAGCTTTGTTTAACTCAATTATTCCATCGGTAAGACACAATATATCGTAACAAATTGTTATTTCATATAACCTAATATTTATTTTTAGATTTCACGTGGTAAGAAGGGATTAAAAATTTGCAAGTGAAAATACATGTTCGTAAGCGACTTAGCAAGTTCAACAACAAGCCCGAGGGTGGGAGTCGTGTCTAAAGATGGAATGAGCACATATTATTCAACAACATTTACCAAATTTAGTTAATTCATATTCAGCAAGGCGATTTAAAAAAATCCATAACTTATTATGTGTACACGGAAAATACTTTCGTCTGTTATGACCAAATGAATTCTGTTTCGGAAACATATCTATATATATATATGCAAGAGAAGAGCTTTTGTGAGGTCGATATTGCATTATCTTGATCAACCTTTTAATGTGTACCTATTAGAAATTGATAATCAAGTAGGCTGCTCAAAATACAATTTTGTTCAAAGTCACTTAAAGTTAGTATATAATAAGATATTTGAGAGGGAAACGAAAAGATTACTCATATATTGATATAC